TGTCATTTTGTTATGTGTTTTTTCATGGTGTCCCTGGTTTCTTTGTTCCATATTGTTTTCTGTGCTGAGCTCATTATGTTTATGAATCATGTCATCATTTCCTTTGTTGTTGTTGTTTTAGTATTTTCCTAGCCCCCTTTTTGCATGAGTTCTGCAACAGGGTCACCTTCTTGAGCCCTCCATGTGTTTATTCACCCTACTTCCAAGTGTAGATATTAAAGGGGCTGCCTGATTCTTGCCCTTATCTACCCTAGCTATTATGAATATGTACCCAGTCGTCCACAGCCTGCTCTCCTCCTCTCATGCTCTCAATTAGAAGGCAACAGGCCTCAACATCTCTAGCTAAGCCCAAAGTTCGGTCTACTGTCCTATTCCTCATCACCTGAGACAGGTACTCCCTCCTGAACACCATGGTCAGAGAGAGAACTAAGCTTATATATCCCATGTTCTAGGAACTACACTAGGTGTTTTATATATAGTGTTCAGGCAGCTGTCTGTCCTCCGTTTTACCCAGTCTTCCTTCTGAGGAGTGGCTGGTGGGTTTGAAACACCAGCCTTTTGCTTACCAGCAAATGTCTAAGGCACTACAGCACCAGAGCTCCCTCCAAAGTGGCATCCTATCTGAAGCACTAGGTACTTGAAAAGCATAGTTTTGTCAAGTACTCTGTCATCATCATCATCATCATAAGAATTTATTATATTAATGTTTGTAGACTCATTACCATGTGCTCTTCAAATGGAAAGATGGTTCATTCTCCTCTCTCTCTTTCCTCAGGGCAGTGTGACAGTACCAATTTCTCTCCCTCTCACTCATTTCCCTTCAGCAAGGTCCACACAAGGGGAACGACATGCATCAAGAATGGATGCATTTCCCTAGAAAGGCTAAAAACTTACGTGGTTGAATGTCAAGACCCAGAAATGCCTAGTTATCAGTATACATAGAATCTTACAGCCTTATTCTCTTGGGCTGATCTTTGGATGACCAGATTTTCAGAGTTTAAAAGTGTCGTGTTCTGGTCACTGAAACACTTATTAGCCCTCTAATTAACTTGCCAGAAGATGACTCTGGAGTGCCTCTTTCACTCACTTCCCTACTCCCTCTGCCTCAGAGACCCAGTGATTTGGGGCACCTACTGGACATCAGTGGGCATTCCCTTGCCAAATCAAGGACAGCAGTATGATATATAATATGTACAGAGCATCTAGCCTACTTTTCAATGCATTGATGACATAGGCTTAACAATCACTAGTTCTCTGCCAAGCGTATCTAGAAGAGGCATTCCCAAACTTGAGTTACACTCAAGCAGCAGTCCTTCCTCATGGTGGAGTTAGCAGGAAAAGAAGAGTTACCCTATGACAGAGTACTTGACAAAACTATCTTTCCATATGAGTGACGATATAGTTGGGAAAAATCATGACACCTATCTCAAGTTGCTCGCAAGTAGCCTTGCTGACATGAAGATGTAGGTCTCACCTACACTCCTCCTTCCCAAATGTATCAGAATTACCCCCGAACATAGGGTTATCTGGGCTGATTTCCAGGGTCTCTGAGTAATTCCCCTGTGGCTTACCAGAGCAGACATAAAGGTCTGCATATGAGCATTCCTACCCTAAACCAATGTGATGGAATAAAAAGTAGAGTGAAGTAAAGGAGAGGAAACCTGGTGAAGCTTTCACGCTGAATAGGAAGGTTTTTTGTGCCCCCCCCCCCACACTAAAGAGCATCTTAAATCTACCTCTTCAGCAGCCACACATAGGCCTGGTCTTGAGTTGCCTCTACCCTGAGATGCTCATCTTCCCTCACAAATCACCTTCCACTACAATAAGCCTCCCTTAAGAGTTTTGCAAACTATAAAGTGCTGAGACACATTTGAGCAACACTTTTCTTTTTTTTTTAATTGTGATTTAGGTGAAAGTTTACAGAGCAAATTCACTTTCCATACAGCTGTTCACACACATTTTGTCTCATGACTTTACCCCCAATGCAACAGCTCCCCTCCCACTTCCTCCCGATAGTTACTTCTTCCCTGTGTCCATCCCTCCATGCACTCCTGCCCCCTGAGCTGTCTCCCTGTGCATACACAGCCCTTCTTTCTCTCATGATTGTTCACATTTGAGCAACTCTTGCTGAAGGCCCTGATTCTCCTTTCTTCAAGTTCTATCCCAAGTAGGAAACTTGGGAAGAATTCCAAATCTCCAGGTTCTTGCACAACTTTCTTCTCCTTTTCTCAGTGCAAATGAGGACAAGCAACCATTTTTAATTAATTGCCTTTCTTAAGGATGAAAGCACCATTCACTTCTGCAACTATGTCAATTTAAAATGGCTGCTCTTTTGAGCTACCCCTTGGTAGAGTGGACCCCACCTCTCTTCTCCCTGTAAACTTTCACCAGGGACCACTGGATCTTGAATGACTCAATGCCTCACATGAGAATAAATTAAGTGCTTCAAATTTATGAATAAGGAAGGCATTTTGGACATGGGCAGTGGTGAAAAGGTCTTAGGATAATGACATCTGTGGCAGATTCTGTGAGTTGCCTCCCTTCCTTGCTGATAGAACTCTGATTTGGTGGCCTGTAAAAAGGAATTAGGAGCTCTGGTGGCACAGTGCCTAAGGCATTTGACAACTAACCAGAAGGCTGGTGGTTCAAACCCACCAACCACTCCTCAGAAGGAAGGTTGGGTAATCTACTTCTGTGGTGATACCACCTGGGAAACCCGAGGAGGGGTCACTATGAGTCGGATCCAACTCGACAGTGAGTTTGGTTAGTGAAAAAGGAGTTGGCAACAATGCATCCAGATCCAGGAAGCAGCTCACAATGGCTGTGAGGCTCTAATGCAGTCATAAAATCCCGCCTCCTGCTTTCCCACTCTGTCCTGGCTAATATGATATAAGGGAAAGACTGCAGACAGCCTTCTTGGATCATTTTTTCTTTCCTGTTAAAAGGAATGGACGTATTTGGCTCTACCCTTCTTCTGGCCTTGAACATAGCTATGATACCTGAAGCTATCACAACCATCTTGTGTTCATGAGGAACTAGGCACAAATGATAGGACTGAAGAGGCCGTGACTGGGATACAATAGAGCTGTTGATCCCTGCCAGACTTTGTGTTAGATGAGAAAAATAAATAAAACCTTATTTGTTTAAGCCACTGTATGTCAAGTTCTCTCTCCCTTAGATGAATACATTCCAAACTGAGGCCACCATCTGGGCTTCTCTAAACTTTTGTTAGATTGTGGCCAAGGCAAACTAGAACCATTTTAAGAGTAGACTAACATCCTCCATGCTATCAAGGGCACAGGGTAATCATGACAGTTGCTGTTTCTAGTCACTTACCACTTCCCAAGGTGTAGAGCAGAATGTTCTCATCTTCTCATTCACCATGTCCCTACTGGAGACTTTATCTGATGTCAAGTTTAAAAACTCCATCACATAGTAATAAGCTGAAAATGCCTACAAGAGAAAAAAAAGAAAAGAAAAACAGTATTGCCTGTGCCTAACACAGAGAGACACTGAGATGCTTTCCAGAAGGCCATACCCCTATAACAGGTATATGGAAATCTCTGTTGAGTGATTTAATGGGCCAGTCAATATTCCAGATGCGAGAGCTGTTTCCTTTTTAGAAGAGGGATTTCTGTGCTGCTGACGTACATTTTGGGGGCATTTGGCCATTAATTTTCTCTATAATCTTTTGAAAACCTTATTGTGTAACAAAAAGTTTGCTATTTTATTTTTTAATTGTGATTTGGGTGAAAGTTTAAAGAGCATATTGGTTTTCCACTGAACAATTCATACATATTTTGTTTGTGACATTGATTGCAATCCCCACAAAGGTTGCTACTTGAATGTGTACAATCAGGTGACATTAATTACATTCACCATGTGCATCCCTCACCACTATCCATTGCCAAAGGTTTCCCATCACCCTTAACAGAAACTCAGTACCCTTTCAGCAATAACTTCCCATTCCTACCTCTCCCCAGGACTTGGTAACTACTAACAAACTTTTGAGTCTATCCATTTGCCTTTTTAGATATTTCATATAATTGGGATCAGACAATATTTGTCTTTTGGTGTCTGACATTTTATTCAACATAACATTTTCAAGATTCATCCATGTCACAGCACATTG